GGCCAGTGACACTGCCCTCCACAGCTAAGATGCTGAACAACAGCTCAACCTGGAGCTGGGCTGCTGTGAGTCACCGGCGATGGCATAGGCTGCAGCCCCTGCGGCAGTGGGTTGCCATGGCTACTGTATGTAGCCAGCAGCCAGCGTGAGCCATCGTCCAGAAGCTGGCGACTGATGTGCCTCGCCCGGGAAGAGCGCAATGATGGTGTCAACTTGGGCCAGTGAAGCAACGTCCTCCACAACTAGACTGAAGAACAAAGCGACAGCAACTTGTCTGTTCCCCTTCCCCCAATTCCCCAGCAATGTCCCCATCCCCCCAATTCCCCAATAAAAATCTTTAAAAAAAAATACAAGATCCCTGCCTTCATGGGGTTTACCTTCTAATGAGGTAGTGAGACACTCGATAGGGAAGTATGTAAGTGTGTATGAGCATGTCATATGCTGCTAAGTCCTATGGCATAAAGTAGGAATGCAGAGTGGGGTGGGAGGTGTATTATTATAGCCTGGTTGAGGAAGTAATCATCTGATAAAGACTCACTTAAGGTGAAGGGAGAAAGGAAATAAAAATATTGATAGCAGTGGTAGTATTCCAAGCAGCCAGAGTGGGAAATACAAAGGACCAAGGTAGGAGCAATCTTAGAGTTTCAAGAAACAGCAGAGAGGCCAGCACTGCTGAAGGGGATGGGCAAGGAGAAGGGTGGTTGGAAGTGAGGTCAGAGAGGGTCAAACAGCCAGCTCAAACTGGCTGTGCACTATGAATTTTGCTCTGAGTGTCAGAAAGCTAATGCCAGGCTTTGACCAGATGTATGGAAGGATCTGACTCAGGCTTCAGTGGGTCACTCTGCTGAGAGAGCAGAGAGGGAGCCACTGCAAAAATCTTGGTAGAAATGATGGTGGCTTGGACCAGGTGGTAGAGCCAGAGGAGGTGAGAAGTGGTCATTCTGAATACATTTTAAAGGCAGAGCTCACAGAACTTGCTAATAAATTGGATGTGGGGTGTGAACAGAAGGTTCATTCCAAAGACAGTGGCCCAAGCAAATGAAAACAGAGAATGCCATTTAATGAAAGAGGGGAAACTGATAAAGAAGAGGTGGGAGGCAAATCAGGAGTCTGCTTTGAATATGCCAAGTTTGAGATGAAAATTGGATGTCCAGTAAACACAAAGTAGTGGCCACATATACAAATCCGGAGAGTAGGGAGAAGTCCAGAGTGCAGATTCACATTTGGGAGCATTAGACAGTTAAACACTCAGTTGTGTTGAAAGCCAGGAAACTGGATGAGCCCACCTAGGGAATGAGAGCAAATGGGCCTTCATGGCTCCCCGGGGACATGCCAATGATCTGAGGTCAGGGAGATGAGAGTCTGAGAAGGAGGCGGGGAGAACCATGAGAGTAGTGTTCTGAAAAAGCCACAAGCACAAGGAGTTTTAAGGAGAAGGGATTTACTAACTGCCAAATGTCACTAATTGGCCACGCAAGCTTAGGCTAAGAATTGACCACAGGATTTGGCAGCATGGAGGTCACTGGTGACTTTGGCAAGAGCTATTTAGATGAACAGGTGAGTACAAAAGAGCATGGGAGGAAAGGAAAGAAATACTTTAAAATTAGACAAGACTTTGGTGTTTTGTATAAAGGGGAGCCCAGAAAACCGATGACGCTACTGACATTCATGAGTAGATAAGAGGTGACAGGATCTAGAGTACAATGGAGGTCTTCTCATTAATGGCAATTCCTAACAGTGCCCAGGGCACAGTGAAACTGGCACTAGTAAGGGAATGCAAATCATTCCAGTCTCTTTGGAAATGTTTAGCAGAACATGTCAAGAGCCTTGAGTAATGTCCATACCCTTTGACCCATTAATTCCATTTCTAGGAATCTCCTAAGGAAATAATTCCCAATACAGAAAAAGTTCTCTGCATAGAAGCTCATCACAGAACTATAAATAATAGGTTTAGAAACATCTAAATATGCCACAATAGATAATGATTAAGGACACTGATGGATCTAGTCACTGGACTATAAGCTCCATGAGGAGAGGAACAGTGTCTATTTTATTTACCACTGTCTCCCCAGCACCTACCATGTGTCTGGCATATTTGTTGAATGAATAAAAATTTTATAAGGTTAAGCAAAAAAAGATATAAAGTAATCCTTAAATATTATATATAAATATGCATACACTCACAGTATGAACTCAAACATGTGAAAAATACAATAAAATTTAACACTCTAAATGTGTAAAAACTAAAGAAATAACTCCCCAAAATGTAAATAGTAATTATCCTTGGGTGGTAGAACATGATTTCCTTTTTTATTTTTGTATAATTTGCATATATTCAAGCATGAATATGGTTACTTTTATAATGGAAAAAACAAGTCAAGGTGATTTCTTAAAAAAGGAAATGCTAGAATTAGACAAGATTTAAACTCACACAGCCAGGATTTGGTAGGGCTTTGCACCCACTAAGGGTTCCCAAGAACTCTGTGGGTGTATCAATTCCAGCCACGGTGCTCTCCTGAAAGTGGGCTCCTCTCACTACAATCAGGGACCAGTCCATTAGCTGGGCTAGCAAAGGCCCCTCTGGAAATCAGAGAGAGTCTGTTCAGAGGACCCAGCTTTCACTGCAGCATTTTCTAAACTCTTAATCAGCTGTCAAAAATAATATCCAGTGAGATGGAAAACTTGATGATACAGTTTTAAGTGAAACACAGCAGAATACAGAGGCGCATGTTCATAAGAAGGTAACTATGCAAACTGTTCATTTGGCAAATATTTTATTGAAGGAATGAAAAGGCTTCAGAAGAAATATGTCCACATATGGCCAGAGATGAGACAACCAAAACTGAATCCACCTTTTCAGCAATACTATTTTAAAGCCTTAACTCCAGAACTAGGATTCCTAAAGGTGGCCCCCAGATCCCACAGGGGGTGTCTACAGATGCTCACCAAGTAGCTCCAAGCTCCAGGGCAATCTGTTTCTTAGAGCAGAGCTTCTCTAACTTGAATGTGTGCACCATTAACTTGGAGATCTTGATAAAATGTGAATTCCAATTCAAACGTTCTGGGGTGGGAACAGAGATTCTGCATGTCTAACAAGCTCCAGGCAATGTTGAAGCTGCTGGTCATTTGAGCGGCAAGTTTCCAGGGTACTGGGTAACTGGGTAATCCCAAGGGTCATTAGGAACCAGAAGCAGGAGACAGCCACCCAGGCAGGCTATGTCAACCTTAGCAAGGTGAGGGGAGCACAGAAGATGCTCAGTGAGGTTTCCATCCACTACCCCAATCCCTAATGCCAAGCACCTTCACCAGATGCACAGCCTGGTCCTCTGGTCCTCAAGCATGCCAGCACCCTAAAGTATCCTTGTCCCCAAGCATCTTGACAGCACTGGGGAGTGATGTGAAGCAAACTCTAGGCAATTGCATGGAATCTGGAGGGGCCTGAGGCCCCCAGTCCCTTGGGGAGCTTGGTCAATGACAACTTGCTGGAAAGGATCCCAGGACCTGAGCTTTGCTGGCAGGTGGTCGGTTACCTGGAGAAGCCAGCAGCAGGTGGCACCAAGACAAAGACAAGCTGCATCCAAAAAAGTGGTTCAAAGGAACAGAATGAGAGATGTGAGCAAAACCTGGGACAAAACAAACAGCTCCAGGAAGAGAGCTGGTGGCTCAAAGAGCACTTGTCTTGAGTGTCAGCTGCACAAGTTCTTGGTCAGGGGCCAGACCAGAGCAACAATCAGACATGGCTGTTGAATCCCCTGCTGCCTGACCCTTTGCCAGCTCCCCTGTGTAGAGCCAATCCCAGGAGCCTCACAGTGAGGCCCCTCAAGGGTTCTGGACATCTGAAAAGCCTGCCCTGGGAGGTCGTGGTGAGTCCACTCTGCTGGAGGGTGGGTGGGTCTGAGTAGGCAGAGCCAGGCCTGGACAGCCCATCCAAGGTGGCCTATGAGCAATCTTGACACTTCCTTCCCTGCAAGCACAAGCTGTCTTGTCCACACACAGATGAAGTATTGGATCTGTCTCAGCATCCAGAAAGCTGGACTATGACCTCCATGGTGAGATATTCACACTCATTGTAGCCCTTTCTCCATTTTCCCTGGCTGACTGGAGGAAGGGGGACCCACTGCTCCTTCCAGCCAGTGCCCCGTTAATCCAGACTCCAACAACTTCCTGTCCCTGCCACTACTGAAGGTGACTGGGAGGCCCAACTCTTGTGGAGGCTTTGAAAGAATCCTAGCACCTCGCCAAGGGAATGTCAGTTCAGTGGTCAGAGTGTAGAATGCAGGAGGCTGGAGTCACAGCCTTGAGTACTGTAGGCCTTGGCAGTGGATTGACACTGGGGAGGATCACAGAGTTCCTAGCCAGCTACATTGTCAGGAGAGGTCCTGGGAGGCAAGGAAGGGCAAGCGATGTAGTGTAGCAGCAGCCTGAGCCCTTCCCATTCTGGAGCATGGCACAGGGCGCCTGTCCTCGGCTCTGCACTCAGCAAGGGCACCTTTCCCACGGCTTACCGTGGCAAAGCTTTCTGTCCGAGGCAGAGAGGACACAAGCTCTATGACAACACATATGTCACCCTCAAGGGCAGATACTTGCAGGCTTATTTCCACACAAGGCGGCAAATGTGGTGAAAGAGAAAAAGGATGGAGTAAGATGTGAATCCTGGGATTCCTGCTGCTCAGGGTTGGTTTTCCTACTGCAGAGCTGTGTGAGGACCCAAAGCCACTGGGGTCTGTTCTCTGCAACTGGATGTGCTAAACATGTAAACAAACCCCACTGTCTTGCCGCCACAGAAATTTTTAAAATCACTTATGAAGCCACAAACATCATCTCTCACAGAAGTTAGGGGTTGACCAAGGTCCAAAGCTCTGACTCCACGTGCTCCTTCCCTTACCTCACAGTGACCTTGCAGCCTCATTGGTAGAGGTGAAACCCCTGGGTTCACAGGCTAGGCATCTGTTGCTGAGTTACCAGAATGAACCCTGCCGGCTACTAGCAGAACATCTCCGGCTCTGGCATCTGCTCAAGCTGTGAGGTATACTGTGACCTGCAGAATCCAGACTCAGAATCCGCCCTGAACCGTCTGAATGTCAGGGTTCACAATGCAAATAGATGCAAAAACGAGCTCTTGCCTACCTATCTGGACCCTAGAAAGCCAGTAATGATGGAGGATCACCCTCAGCTTGCCCCACGCCCACTTAGCTAAGTGAAGGAGCCTAGCGATGGGCATGGCATTTAGCCTTAGACCTGGCTAAATGGGGTTGGATCTGCTACTGAGCTTCAGGGACCCTTTGGAGACTTCTGTGTGTACTGTGGACAGGGGAAGATGCTCAGCCTCCTCCTTGGGGGCACTTTGCTGGCAAGTCAGCACCAGAGCTTTGACCTCCTTCTTGAAGTTGGTGTTGAGAAAGCCGTAGATGAAAGGGTTGACACAGGTGGAAGCCATGGCGAGCAGGTGGCACAGCAAGAAGATGAGGTTGCCATGACAAATGGGGATGGCCTCATGGTGCCAGTCCTCCAAGCTGTTGAACACATGCAGGGGCAGCCAGAGCAGGGCGAAGGCAGCCACCATGGCCACGAGGATGCCGTTGATCTGCCTCATCTGCCGAGCCTGCGAGCTGTAGGTGCCCTTGTGGAACAGCCGCCCCTGCCTCCGCAGGCGCCGGTAGATGCGCACGTAGCAGACTAGGATGAAGGCCAGTGGGATGCAGTACTGGAAGAGCAGCAGCAAGGTGGTGTAGATGACACGGTGGTGGTCCAGCGGCCAGGACTCGGTACAGACCACCTTATCTGCCAGGAATTCCAGGGCCTTGGAGTGGTTCTTGTGGAAGACGTTCTCCAGGATACTGTTGGCCAGGAAGGGCAGGGAGAGGAAGCAGGCAATGAGCCAGATGATCACAATCCCCAGGTAGGCCTGGGAGATGCTGGGCTTCCAGCCTGTTGGATTGATGATGAGCTGATGCCTCTCCAAGGCCACAAGGACAAGTGAGAGGATGGAGACTGTCACTGACATACACTGGATGAAGGCCGACATCTTGCAAAGGGCCTCACCAAAGACCCAATAGTCCATGATGGTGTAGATGGCTGTGAGCGGCTGGCAGATGAGGCACATGAGGAAGTCAGAGAAGGCCAGGTTGGCAATAAGCAAGTTGGTCACATTGGCCTTCTCCTTCTGCCTAATGGTCACGCATATCAGGCAGAGGTTGCCCAGGACCCCCACAATGGTCTCAATGCTATAGGTGGTGACAATGAAGACCATCAGGTCTACAGAATCCTGGCAGTGGTCAGAGAAGTTGTACAGGATGCTCTTTGGCTTGCTCCTGTTTTGACCCTGCAGGGATCCTGGGAGCAGCATGGACAGGAAGTGAGAGATGTTCATGGTGCATGTGGGTAGATTACAGGAGATTCAGTAATGACACCTGTAAAGCAAAGAGACAACTGGTACTCAGAGATCGTACCTTCTGGGTATAATCCAGGGAGGAGTGGGGTCCAGATAGAGATGTTCACGACTTCTTCGACCCCAAGGCCGTGAATTATAGGACCTGAGACTCAGAGATGTAAAACAACTTGCCCATAGTCACACAGCTAATAAGTAATGGGGCCCAGATTCAAACCTAGGTCTGTCTGATGCCAGAACTTGCTCCAAAAATTCCCCCTGACCTCAGACTTTGATGCAATTTTGATGATAAGGAAGTTAGATTGTTGTATTCCAAGTTCAGGGACAGAATTCATCAGGGAGCATGGAAATCCCCTTGTCACATTTTATCCAAATAGAGGCAGAAGCAAACGCCACCATCTGCTCAGGTATTTCCGTGGAATACCATGCCCTTTAGGATAGAACCAAAACTCTGGGGCTTGATACACAGTGAGCCCTCCTGGTCTCAATCACTACCTGCACCACTAGCCTTATTTCTCAGGTAACACATGGCAAAGTTGAAGACTGCCAGGTATGCAAAAACTGAATCATCAGCACACCTGCTCTCTCCTCCTGCCCACCATGTGTACACACATGTCTGGCCAAGTTCATGGGATGTCACCACCCTCCCTATGGGCCCTCTCCATGCCTATGCGCTAGCCACCTGAAACAGCTTGCAGTTCCCAAACACACCAGCCTAGTCCACACCTACATGCTCTGGCACAGCCTGTCCCTTTTTCTCTGGTGCCTCCTCAACATACTGGACCCTCTGTCAAGATTAAATTGAAATTTGGATTCTAGAGACTCCAGGTGGTAATACCGATGAAAGATATTTTGACATGGAGAGCCACCAGGTCATTACACACACCATTGTGACTCACCTTCCTCATGAGTCCTCTAGTCATCATTAACCCACAAGCAGCTCTCGACCTCCGGGGACACCAGAATCACTCCAGGAGCATGTTGAAAGTGCAGACTTCAGAGCCTCTCACCAGGAGATACAGTTAAATGAGTCTGGGATCCGGCCCAGGAATCTCTGTTTTAACAAGTGGCCCATGTGATTCTGATGGGCCATTTTGATAAACACTGTTTACAGAAGAATACCCTATTTCAGATATTCTTTAAGTTCCATATAATGGTCAGAGAAGCAGTTGTTACACAGTATGGCCAAAATTAACCAGAGATCAGTAAAATCTATTCATCAGATGTCATGCGAGGAAATTCACCGTGCATTTGATCTGGCTTATAAAAATGGGTCCCACTTGACCATTTACAAGATCAAGGCATGAATTCCACTGCAGTTTATAGTCCGGTTATTTCGGTTAGTGAATTTCATAGGCAAGAGGATTTTTCTGGCACCATAGTCATCTGGCAAAAAGGGCCATTTGGGAGTGAACGTGACAAAATGAAATACACCAAGGCCAGATGTAAGGTCCAGTATTTAAGTCAAAACATGGCCACAGCAGCCTGAAACTGTGGGGGATGCATTTTACCCAGAGCAGCAAATGGGACAGAAACCCAAGGCTCTGTCTGATCACCAGCCAATACTGGGTCAATGGGGGGGAGCCACACCAGGGGTTCCAAACTGGCCAAGTGCAGCATGATCAGAGCGGAGTGACCACATGGACAGGGCTCCAGAAATTCCCCCCAACTTCATACATTCATCCACTCAGTAAACATGTGCCAAGCCCCATGCTACAAACGGGGTTACAAAGATGACATGTACAGCTATGTCCCTTCCTGACCAGAGGAAGTGACCACCAGGAATGCAGATACACCTCAAAGCCACATTGCCATCACCAAAACCACTATGAATGGAATGCCTGTGAGCACCAGAACTTGTTGCCAGGCAGCTCTCAAGACAAGGTGGGAACATCTGAAGCTCTGGGGGAACATCTCCACTGCAGTTGCCTTCTCCATCAGTCAGAGGAACACTAACAAATAATACAAATGTTATCAATCTCCCAATGAGGTAAGCATGGAGAGAAAGATATCTGCTTTGTTTCCTGAAATTTCAGCGAACAGCTCCTGTCTCCTAATGCCTGCGGTGCCCAGACACTTTCCATGCACCCCTTACCTCTTCTCTACTAGCAACTCACAGGGCGAGGGAACGTGCTACCCAAGTTTCAAGTGAAGACACTGAGGCTGCGGGAGTCCAAGTCTACACGAGAAGCGGGGTGCTCCCGCTCCCCCTGCCCCAGCCCTGGTTGTGCTACTCTGAGCCGCGCGGAGCCTGTGAAGCCCATCCCGTGCCCCATCCTCAGTCTCCGGGAGGCGGGCGGCGGGCGGCAGGCAGCCTGCGAGGCTCTGGGGGCGGGGGTTGGGGAAAGGGTACGGAGCAGGGGGGCGGGGGGTGGGGGGTGTCAGACCCCAGCCCGGGTCCCCTAAGGCTCCAGGACCCAACGGGTATGCCGTAGGGCCCGCGCCAGCCTCACCTGCTCCGGGGTCCCGTGGCACTCTGTGTACGAAGCGGAGCCGCCCTGCTGGTCCTCTGGCTGCCGGCTGGGCTCCCTCCTACGCTGCTGCCGCCTGCGCCCTCCCGCCCACGAGGACGCTGGGCTGCCTGGGGACCCAGGGAGCCAGCCCACACCACCCGCCTGGAGCTGTATGCCAGCAGATTAGACCTCTCTCTCTCTCTCTCTCTCTCTCTCTCTCTCTCTCTCTCTCTCTCTCTCTCCCCTCTCCCTCCCTCCCTCCCTCAGTTTCCTCATCCATGAAATGGACCTAAGAAGACCTACCTTTCACAAACTGGTTCATAAATAGGAATTGAAGACCTCCTATGGGTCTGGTTCTCCTGCTTGGCACAGAGAACTGAACAAAACTTGTGTCACCCTGGAGCTCCCAACTCTGAGGGAGAAGACAGACAAGGGACAAGTAAATGAGTGAATAAATCATTACAGAGAGTAAGATGCTGTGGGGAAATGGGTCAGCTTTAGAGGGATGGTCCAGGCACAGCAAAGCAAAGGCCCTGAGGCTAGAGGCATTTGGCCCCTGGAGACCATGGGAGGGCAGTGTGGCTGGAGAAAGTCAGCAAGAGGGCTTCCAGAGGTGTGGGCGGGACAGCCAGGGAAGGCCCCATAGATGCTGGAAGGGCCTCCAAGGTTGTTGCAAGGAGAGTTAAATGAGAAAGTACTTCTGCATTGGAGCCCAGGTGACACAGGTCTTGGCTGAAATGCAACGTCATTTGTTATTAAGGGCTGCTCCTATTTTAAATACATTAACTTATACTTTCCTCCCCAGGGAGGCTACGAGGCCCCAAGGATGGTAAAAATCACGTACGCATTTGGAGGACCTTCTGAGAGTTACAGATCTGCTTCAAAGGCACTTCCTAAATCTTGGACATGCACAACTCTCCTATGAAACCTCCGTGGCTTGAACTTACAGAAACAGAAGAGTAGTGGTTCCCAGGGGCTATGGCATGGGGAAAATGGGGTGATATTTGTCAAAGAGTACTAACTTCCAGTTATAAAATTAACAAATGCTGGGGATCTAATGTACAGCATGGTGATTATAGCTAATAATGCTGTATTATATACTTGAAAGTTGCTAAGAGAGTCAATCTTAAATGTTCTCACCAAAAATTTTTTAAAAAAAGGAAATTATATGACAGGATGGAGGTGCTAGCTAAAGCTGGGATGGTAATCATTTTGCACTACATAAATGTATCAAACAAGCATGTCTACACCTTAAACTTATATAATGTTAATTATACCTCAATAAAGTTGGGGGGAATCTTCCGTGGCTCCCCAGGAGCCACAGGACATGGCGCAGATCTCCCAGCCACTCCCTACCCACACCAAGTAACCCCAAAGGCACCATTCATGGTGCTATGGAAATGGTCCTGGAGTTGTGGGCAGTGGCCATCTTTAGAATGGTAGCTGCCATTTATGGCACGTGTGGACTCTACATACATTACCCTACTTGATCATTATCACAGCTCTGAGAGGTGGGCATTTTACTTCCTGTTATACTGTTGAAGCAAGGGACACTCAAAGATTGAACAAATTCTCCAAAGTCACCAGCTAAGAAATGCTCAGATCCAACCTGCCAAACACCCAAGCCTCTGCTCACTGGCCCCTGGGGTGGCACCTGCTCTTCCTTCTTTAGGGACCACTCTCCTCCCTGCCGTGACTGCCTGGAAGACTCCTTCATGCCCCAGGTCCATGTCCCCTGTGCTGTGACACATTCCTGCAGCCGCGTGTGCTCTCTGGCAGAGACAGGTGGTGCAGCCCGGTTGTATGTTTGCACAAGCATCCTTGTCTCCTTACTCCTCATGTCTAGGACACCATTCTTGTCTTTGCCTCCAAAGCCGAGCATGGGTTCACACACAGTGGCAGCGTCTGACAAAGGAAGGCAGAAATGCATTTAACAAGACCTAATTGTAATGATGGCTTCCTGGAATCAAAAGTAGAGAATATTTCCTGTCCAGAAACCACTCAACTATAGATACCTGTTCTCTGTGCAGGCAAGAACTGACACTGTCACCTGCCCCTCATGGGGCAGCCGTGCAGTGTCTAGGGTGCCTGCAGCCTCTGAAGCCTTGCTGAGGAGACCTATGAAGCAGGCTGCCACATGGACATGTTTGAGAACCACTGCCCGGGGCTCACAGACCTGAGCCCTAGTCCCATGGGTCAGAGCACAGCCGAGGAGCTGAGAGGGCAGTGAGTGTAGTGAACAGTTTCCATGCCAGGCAGAAGCACCTGCTCTTATTCCATCTTCACACCCACCTGGTGAGGTGTATGATCCTCCCATTTCACAGGCGAGAAAACTGAGGCTTGAAAGAGTAGAGGGACTTGTCTCAGTCACCTAACTTGCAGATGATGAAGCTGAGATTTGAATCCAAAGTCCGAGCTTCTTCTCTGGCCCCTTACAAGAGGAGGGAGCTGCTCATAGCAGCCATTCCTAGTTAAACCAACACCACAGAAGATAGCTGTCAGACCCTTTGCATCTGCTGGGGAAGGAAACAGCACCCCCTGGTGTCAGTGGAGCTGCGCAGCAAGCATAACTGCAGCATCAGAAGCTCCCCAAGAAAGCAGAGTCCACAAGCAAGAAGCTGGGAGCTGTACATCCCCACTCACTGGATCAAATAAGAAGCCAGGACCCCAGTCTGGGAGGTCCTGCCAGTTGGCCGGGCTGCATTCTGCAGTTTCTTACAGAAGGGCACAGTAGAGTTTTCCCTGCACCATAAAAGTGGGGCTTTGCCTGACCTCCTAGACACTGACCCTGCTTATAGCTTAGTGATGGAACTCACTTCCCACCCCCTTGGGAATGCTCCACGTGAATCGCCTTGGAGTCAAATGGGAGCACTAATCCCTCAAGCTTGTTTGGCCCTCAACAGCTTACAAGTTGACCTGTCAATCCACTACAAGGTCAGTGTGCTCCTTGGTCTGATGAGATAGCTGAGGGTCAGGAAATGGAGATGGGGCCCAACCACCCAGTTTCTGGCAATTCACTGTTACTTTCACTATGTGTGGGCCAGTGTGGTGAGTGGTCACAAGCTGAGCATGGGAGCCACCTTGCCAAGCCTCAGATTCTTTTCTGTAAAATGGAGCTAATACTAAAACCCATCTCCAGGGTTGTTGTGAGGAGAAATGAGGTGAGATGCGAACAGCTCCTAGCACAGTTCCTGGCAGGAAACAACACATCCTGGAGGCCTGACTGCTATTATTCGTGTCCTATGTGCTTGCCCATCTCCCTATTAATTCCAGTTAGAAAACTCTCCAGCCCCAAGCACACTCTCATCCAGATTTATCCAACGCCTCCCTAACAGGCCCCATGTGCTCAGCCATGGTGAGCTTCTAAAATCAGTCTGACTCTATTTCTCTTTTTGCCCTTCTAGGTTTGCCTCCCCCAGACTCCTTCTCCACTTAAACTCTTTATTTATTGGGAATACCATTGCCTTTCGCATATCCAGGCTTGTGTAGATGTTTCTTCCACAGCCTGGACTCATTCAGCTCATTTTCCACTTGTAAAATTCCTACTCATTCCTGGAGACCCAGCCCTCAGTGAAATGTCCCGAACCCTCCACCTGCTCATTTTAAAGGAATGCTGAGAAGTTTGTCCTTCACACTGAGAGTTCCTGGGTAGCTGTCCTGCTTTTATTCTGGAAGACCCATAGCAAAGGAAAGTCTGATCAGCTATCCAGGAAAATCCACTTCATTTCCCATTCTTATGAATGGAGAACCAGAGTCCCATGCATTTAGAACAGGGGTCGGCAAACTTTTGATACGAAAGAGCCGCCAGGGGTCAGCAAACTGTGGCTTGCCACATGCGGCTCTGGGTACATACATGTGGCTCTGAAGTAAAATTGAAAATAAAAATAAAACTATCATACTTTCATTTATAATATTACTTTAAATTTTCCTTATTTGTAAAAATATATCTATGGCTCTCGAATCATTTTTAAATTGTTGTGAGAGACAGGATTGGCTTTTCCATGTCGGCAAACTTTTGAGATGGAACATACCCAAAGAGCTGCATGTGGCTCGCGAGCTGCAGTTTGCCAACCCCTGATTTAGAAAATCAACAGCACAAAGGACATAAGTCAAGATAGATAGATAGATAGATAGATAAATAGATAGATAGATAGATAGATAAATAAATAAATAAATAAATAATTGACCTGAAAATAAACTGAAATAACTCAGGGAATAGAAAACAACTTTAAGAGATCAAAACTTTCCATTGCTCCTTAGAGAGATTATAGCAAAGTTGTTGATTCCATAAAATAAGTGCTGATTGCTAGGAAACAAGAGACCAAAAGAGCAAAAAGGACCCTTGAAAATTAAACATATGATTGCTGAAATTGAAAATCATTTTATTCGAAGGGATGGCAGGACAAGGAAAGGAAATGTCTCATAATATATAGCGAAAACACAAAAAGATGGAAAACCTAGGAGCAAAAATAAAAGACACAGATGCTGAATGAAAATTATCCATCAGCTGATTAATAAAATCTCCAGGAAGGAAGAACCCAGAAAATGAAAGGTAGCATTTCAGTCATTGACTAAACAGGAAACAGAATTCAGCCCCACAGAGTCAAATGAAGAGACATTAATAGGAAGGTAACAGAGGTTTGGGCAGGGTTAAGGGAAAATACAGGAAATGGTGAGGCACCCAGAAAATAGCAGAAGCAATTACCACCCTACAGCTAAAGGAATCAGAGGAGAAAACCATGTCATTTGAGCCTGGTGACTGTGGAAGAAGGGCCACCCTGTGAGCTGTTATAGTCTGGATGCATGTCACCATCACCATTGACTCAGCATTGAAATAGGAAGTAAAAAGTATACCAACCCTTCTTCCACTTCCACCCTCCTATGAGTTCCTGCCATTGACCACATCCAACTAGAATCCAGCCAACAGAGGATCATCCAGACTCCTGGGCACCGAGGGGCGGAGAACAATTGTGGTGAATGGATCTGTGTCAGACAGTTGCAGCACAAGGAATTCTCAATAATAAGAGTCTTTCCCAGGGAGGTAGAAAGTGCCCTCTGAGTACTGCTCCACACCTAG